AGCCATTGAGTGACATCTGGCAAAAGTCCCATGAGGCATCCCCACCCTCTTGTGACTTTACCAGTGAGCATCGTCTAGATTCGTAGTTGCCTTGGAACTTTCCTGTGAATCTGATGGGGACACAGGGTGAAACATACTCGCCTAGAATGGGGACCGTGAGTCCCAGGTCAGGGCCCCAGATCGCTGTCCTTCCGGCTCACTCCACACACTCTCCCAGGGCTTAGGGGAAGCATGAGCAGAGTTAGTATGTATTGCTCTCACAGGGATTTGTGAGCGTCAGAAGGCTTTACTCTAATTGCTCTTGGTGGAAGGATGATACTAGCCCCTGCTGCAAACTTCCCCACAAGCTCACGTTTAAGTGTCCAGTCTTGTGAAACTAACTCAGGGAGAGCTTTATTCAATTACTGGGCCTGTATTATGTGAGTGTGAGGTTGCCAAGGAAAAATGAGTCAGAGTAATCCCTTTGCTAGGAGATGAGAAACAAAAAAAGGCTGGCAGACCTTTAATATTTTAATTACCTGCTTCCAGAACAATAAAAAGGGATTCAGATCTTCCACTTACGGTTGTACATTGTTATGATCTCATAAAGTACCTTGAACTGTTTCCTCAAGATGTAAGCCTTAAACTTTTTCCTTTCACCTGTATTCAACTATTCCAAAGATCAGATTTGAGAAAAGTAAGAATTAAATTTTCCTTTAGTGGCTTTAGTTACAAATATTGGAACCAAAGGCAATTTAAACCTTGTTGCTTTCTTAAAAGATTTTTAAGGGTTTTTAAATGCCTCCTGGGAATGACAACTAGAGATAATGTGGGATCCTGGAACAGAAAAAAGGACATTAGGTAAAATCTAAGGAAATTTGAATAAAATATGAAAATTAGTTAATAATAATAATGTATCAATATTGGTTCAGCAATTGTGACAAGTGTATATACCACATTAATGTAAGATGTTAATAATAGGAGAGACTGGTTGTGGGAACTAGATGGGAACTCTCTGTGCTCTCTTCACAACTTTTCTCTAAGTCTAAAACTATTCTAAAACAAGAAGTTTATTAAAAACAAATGCCTCCTATTCCTCAAAAAATCAACGATAGAACTACCATATGATCCAGCTATTCCACTATTGGGTATTTATCCAAAGAACTTGAAAACACCAATTTGCAAAGGTACATGCACCCCTGTGTTCATTGCAGCCTTATTCACGATAGCCAAGACTTGGAAGC